CTTAGTTAATTATTGAATTCAAGCTTTCATTGTTATTAGAAACAAATATCCTAGCAATTATTAAAATGTCAGGTGTATTAAGATATGTGAATAAAGATAATGGTATATAAAGAGACAATTTAGACATTTCTAATAGGAAAGCTGGTGTCTTGTGGGTCATTTATGACTTGAAAGCCTATGAATATGGGCTTCTTACTGTCTTCTTGTGTCCTTAAATTTGTGTTCTTAAATTTGTGACAAGCTAAGCAGAATGAAACTGAATCATTCCCAAAAGTCTTGGTATTGTTTAGTGTGTAAAATACCAGATTTCAAAACCAGTTTGACTATTTCAATTAATGTATTTTGAATAAATTAAAAAACAGTTTCTCCTTAAAAATTGTATACTTAGGAATGGGTGATAGGCAGGAGGGCTAGTTTCCTTAAACACTAAATATTGTCTGACATCTGAGACAAAGATAATGCTGAGAATTCTGGTTGACTAGATGAGCAAACTTCCTGGTGCATGCTGCTCATTTGCTTCTACTCGGTTTCTATTGCTTGCTGGAGTAGCTAAGCAAAGCAGGGAGCTTCTGTTCATGATTTGTTTAGCATTACAACTGAACCATGTTCATCATCTTGTTTCTCCTAACAAGTCAGAATTATAAACCAGGATTTGTTCTTAACTTTTGATGCAGGCTTGTTAGTGGAAGTCTACTTGTCAGTGTCGTTCTTTAATTTGTTTAGCCATTCCTGCCAAATGGAAGCAAAAGAGCAGTGTGTATTAACACAGTAGCCTGTTTTCAGTAAGTCAGAATTTTCAACAATTCAGGTTTATTTATTATTTTATTATTCAGTTTATATACTATCTCCCAAGAATCTGACTCAAAATAACTTACAATTAAGTAGAACAATTATAATTATAGTTTACTATAATTGTCTGAATCAGGCCATTATGTATAGAACAAAGTGATGCGTGTTCATATATATCTGTGAGGAATAATGGTGGATTGATTATTAGAGGTTTATCATCCCTTTTATACTTTCTGAATTACTTGAGACAACATAAGAAATATAAAACAATTTCATTATTGTACATTTGTAATAATATTTGCAGTGTTTCTTTTCTATTGCACTTGAAATGAGAGTAGCAATCATCAACAACATAAGAACAATCCTAACCTGCCGTCAGGTTAAGAGGGGTGGACAAGTCCTTCCACTAGCAAAGAACCTGTGGAGGATTGTTCATCCTAGAGATCCTGGTTATCCCCATGAAGAACACTGTACATGTAAACTGGCTTCTAGATTCAGTCAAACAGGAATATCTGTTCTGAACACACACATACATTTTTTTAAAGATTGCCCAAAGTCACTATGGATTTCTAAAACATTAATTTAAAAGGCATCAGCTAGGGCACATGCCATTAATGTATGTTTGGATGTGTACCTATCTATATATTTGTTGTTTTTGTTGTTGTTGTTGTTGTTGTTATATCTCTCTATATTTGTTCCCTTTGCTTTTTAAGATCTGGCAGAGAGTGACTTGGCATATACTCAAGCGATAATGGGCAGTGGAAAGGAAGACTACACTGACAAAGAAGTGCTCATTCTAGGAGGTGGTGATGGAGGAATATTGTATGAAATAGTCAAATTGAAACCAAAGATGGTCACCATGGTTGAGATATCCTTTTAATAAATGGATGATAGTCCAATAAAAAAACAACGTTTAGCTTGTCCACTGTATTTTGAAAATGTGGCATTGGTTTTATTCATGGTGATTTGTGCTGACATCTCAGAATTAACTCAAATTTCGCTATGTACTGTACAGTTTAAATCGTGTTGAGGTAGTATTCAGTACAGGATTGTTGCTGTTATGGCCCAAATCAAATTGCTAGTTCCGAGTAAGGGGTGCAACAGATGGGCAGGAAGGAATGGCCAGAGGCAGCTCCTGCCTGGAGTGCTGTCAGACCACAGTGACCACATGCCATGGACCCGATGCTGGCTTCTGCTGCGGTCCCAAATGGACCATGGCAAGGAGCGGAAAAGATCCGCTCCTTTTGTGGCCGGGTTTGGGCCACCTTAGGCAACCCGGGAGCAACCTGGCGTGGCTTCCGCACAGGTTGGGGGTGTGCATCATCTAAATGCCATGCCTCCAAGCTGCACAGAAGCTGGCTTTTTATGCCCGCCGGTTTTGGGTCTAAGACCCACTGAATCTGAGTCTGTGCTAGTTGGGACTAGTAACTGGATTTAGTCCTATGTCTTTCCCATCTTGCTTCAGGAAGATATTTATGATTTAGCAGCAGCTGCTACTGATAATAATTTTTTAAAAAATTGAAAAGCTCTGGTTTGTGTTAAGTGAATGTTTAAAAAATCATTACAACCATGTGTTTGTGCTTATACAAACATGTAGCTGTCCATAAAGTAAAAAAGCTTTAAAGTTGTATTATCATTCCAAACCTGATTTTTTACGATACCACATATGGTTTCCAATAAAATATATCTCTATTACCATATTTTTCGGCATATAAGACACATTTTTTCTTCCCCAAAA